TAAGGTCAGCTGTTACAAAATTAGAAGGAAATAAACCTATCCCTTGATGTGTTTCACCTTTCCACCAATTTGGATCACTGGAGATTTAAAAAAAAAAAAAAAAAAAAAAAAAGTCTTCCATAAACAATAATATCACAGTACCATTTAATTCAGGCAAAAATATGAGACATGTTTAAATAAAAGTATCCAACATTCTAAATCTTAATTCAGCTCTAATGTACATGTCCAGATACTTCCAAAAGTTGTTTTTTTTTTTAATTATTCTGAGGGCCCTTTTTTCCCCAAAATATTCTGTTTGAAACTTGAAGGTAAGAACTTGCAAAATTGCAAAAAGGACTAGAATAATAAGAACACATATTTTAGGCAAGAATTATTTTACAAGTTTAAATATATAAGAATTTCTATCCCTTTTAAAGGTAGAAGGAAACCTCTCAGTGACAAAGGTTAGAAAGATACTTCCATAGAAAGGTTATTCTATAAACTGCCTCTCACGCGATTCCTTGCATGTGTGGAATCAGAAAAAAATAAATAAATGCCTTAAACTTTGATCATTCGAGTTATAAGATGACATAACCACTTTGTGGGGAATTGCTAGCTCTGTACAGAAGAACAGATAAGGGAAAGTGTTTGTTCTTTGTAACTCCTCTGCAACTGCTTCGCTCACTGCAGCCTTGAAGATAGCAAAAAGTATGTACAACTCTGATTTCCAGGTGCAAGAAGGAAGTGTTATTTCTCCCTTTGTCTCCCCCCATAGTTCCCATCCTGATAACAGCAAAGCAGTATGAGGTAATGTTTGTAGCTGCTTTTCTAGCTAATTCCACTTTATGATCACGTGAGTTGTAAACGACTGTTAAAAAGTATATAAGCCTCATGATTTTGCTCTTGGGGGGAACCCCTTCCAAGTGCTTAGGAAATCCATGTCACTTTGGAATCCCCCCTACAGCTGTAGTTTCATTTGAATAAAAGCTTCTGCTGACCTGGCCCAAAAGTATGCTGCGTGTGTTTCCACGACACATGTTTCAGATACTGTTTGAGCCAAGATACTGGACTGAAACTGCAACTGATCTAACCTAATGTGACTGTTCCTACTTGTCTGGCCCTCTGCTTATTTTGAGCACCTGTATGAGGGGTTTTGTTCTGCAGAGGGTGGGCTAATGACAACAGAAATTGAAGATTCTTGGCTACTTGCAGTTTGCTCCTCAGATGCTGAATGTCCCACTATTTCTATTTTATGGAAAGACTATGTTTATATAGTTGATTTGAAACATTTTAAGAAAATAAAGACAGACAAGGTTCTTTGGGTGAATCTGATATCTTTTGTTAGACCAACTTAATTGTTTTCCAACTATTAAGCAAGCTTTCGGGATCAAAAACCTTTTGTCAGGCTAAGGAAGTTTCAGCAGTTCGTATGTGCTCTTCCTGGATGGAATGAAAAGTAAAGAAGCCAGCAGCTGGGTTGGTATGCATACAAGACAGACAGTCAGTGGAAATGTAGATTGATGAGTCGATGGGTGAGAGACAGGCTGGGTGGTGGGGAGAGAAGGGGGATGAATAGTGGAGAAGTACCTGGGACATCAGCTGTCAGGCAGGTTATAATGTGTCAAATCCAATGTCTCTATTTAGTCCATGATTTTTAGTGTTCAGGAGGTTAATGGATGAAGTGGAGTTCATAGGCTCATCTCTGGGAAGTGTTTTGTAAGTTTCCTTTGAGGTTTATTCTGGTGCACAGTTGTTGTTTGGTCTCTCCTACGTATTTTCCATCAGGGCATTTGGTGCATTGGATGAGATATATCACATTTCTGGAGGTGCAGCTGTAAGATCCAGGAATGCTGATGGCTCTGTTGTGGGGCGTAGTGATTGTGGGGGAGGTGGAGATGTGTTGGCAGGTTTTGCATTATTAACAAGATCAAAAGAAACTTACACAACACTTCCAAGAGACAAGCCTATGAACTCCACTTCGTCAACCTCCTGGATACTGTGCGGGCCGGGAGCGGTCCAAGGCTTTTGGGGGTGCGCAGCGGGCTGTGGCCAGCAGCCCTGGCACATGGGTCGGGGAATGCAGGCCAGCAGACTAGAATTAGGCACGGACACATAGTGGTTGATTAAAGATTATTTTACTTACACCATAGATGGTCGCGGTGCAGGCAGGAGAAAACTTTGCTTAAGTTGCAGTTACAAAACTCGTATGAACAAGACCCATAGAAAAACTCGAGCCTCTTGAAATAACTCGGGTAGAGCTCTGGATACACACACGAAGCTTGCTAGGCTCCATGGAACGAAAGCACACAGGGAAGGGTACGTCAAGGGATTAGGCGGTGACGGGGAGAGGTTAGAGGTTGATCAGGCCCCTGTATCCTCCTTAAGGCACACGCTGGGTTTGTTAGGCTCCGCAGCGCTCAGAGTTCTTCACAAGATGTGAAGTCCTCCTTCTTCTCCTCCAGATGGTTGTGGAGTCCTCCCTTGCGGGGTTCTCCTTGGAGTTCTCCAACTTGGGCGGAAACAGCTCAAGACTCTTATACGGCTAGCAGGCCAATCGCTAGCTGCCACGTGGGAATAATTTAGAAACAGTCAATAGTGGGACACAAATTTGCATGCGAATGGCGGGAACTTCTTTGCACCGGGATTTTCTCTATGCAACTGAGAATTGCACCGTGCAAAGAAAGCTCCTCGTGGCGGGAAATAATTCTGCAGTGCCGAAGCACATACAAAATCATACCCTTGGGTTATGACAGATACTAAAAATCATGGCCAAAACATAGACATTGGATTTATGACACATTATAACCTGCCTGACATCTGACTCTCCAGGCATCTCTCCACTATTCATCCCCCTTCTCTCTCTTTTCCCCCCCTCTCCCCAGCCTGTCTCTCACCCATTGACTCCTCAATCTACATTTTCACTGACTACCTGTCTTGTATGCATACAAACCCAGCCGCTGGCTTTACTTTTCATTCCATCCAGGAAAAGAACACACCAACTGCTGAAACTTCCTTAGCCTGACGACGGGTTTTTGAAGCCGAAAGCTTGCTTAATAATTGTTTTCCAACTATTTAAGTTAGTCTAATAAAAGATATCAGATTCACCCAAAGAACCTTGTCTGCCTATATCCTTAGACCAACACGGCTACAACCTACACCCCAGTTAAGAAAAAAAAAAAAAAAAAAAAAAAAAAAAAAAAAAAAAAAAAAATATTTCCGGACATTAAATGAAGTCAAATTGTTAATAAAGGGAGTTCCCAGTTTGCTACTACTACAGATTTTTTGCTCTCCATATACATCCCTACAGAAAGATCCCAGCACAGTCACTTGAGGAAAGAGACAGACAGCTATTTTAATTTGATATCAATCTCTTTGTTACAATTTACTACATAAGCAATGACAAGAGAGTTTCAGCTGTTTTCCTGGAAATAATGACTGGCTGGGAAGGCCTGATGCTTTGAGACACAGGGGCTAAATACAGACATTTGTGGGGATTAGCAGGTGGTTAAAATCAGCTCAAAATCGCTGCCCAGTAACAGGCAAGTTAGGATGGAGGGGCTAGCAGGAGGGTTGGGGGCCTAGCAGACTGGAGCGGATCAGGGGTCTGCCAGGGGATGGAGGAGGCACAAACCATGAAGGGTGGGGGGAGATGATCAGGGAGGCAGGCACAACCCTCAAGGTTTTTCCTGGGGTCCAGTAGTGTCTGGCA